ACTTGATTATAACCATTGATATGTTGGATCCAATGATCCAAAAACATTCTTATTTCTTTCACTATCTACCATTCTCATATGATCCTTTCTCTATATATATATATATATATATATATATAACATATCATATATAGTAGTATATATACAAGGACACATCTAACATCATTATAATTTACAGAGAAATTAAATAAGATAAATATATAATTTATAGAGAAATAAGATAAATATCTTACCAATAATTATTTGGTTCTTCCAACCTAATCTATTCTATCTATCTATCTATCTATCTATCTATATACTAATTTAAAAGGAGGAGTGTTTTTGTAAAAATTCATAATGCCTAAAAAACCCTTACTTTGACATAAATTTAATTACAAATTAGTAATACACTAATACATGTCATATTTTATTTATATTTTTAATTAAAAATGAATTACCTAAAAAACCCTTACTTTCACATGTTTTTAATGGCAAATTGGTAATATACTAATGCCATCATATCTTATATCCTCCCTATATATATTAAACAAACATAACTTTTCTCAATTCAACATAAGGAAATCAATGAAAATAATATATTTTAAAAAAATTTATGAACAAAAGTTGACTCGACAATAATCTTAAATTTATGAATTGTAAATATTTAATTAAAATATTAATTAAAAAAATGTAATTAAATATAATATAATATAGGATATACAAATATTTGATATATAATGGCAGATGATCGAAAAAATTCTACACTTTATATTATGTCTTTTTTGACAAATCTGCAGTTAAGAACATGTGAAAGAACAAGATTATAAAGTTTTAAAAAATATTAAATATAAGAAATAATATGAATAATAACTAAAATGTGACACGTACTAATAAATATAAAAGAAACTAATAAACAAAAATAATATAATTAATATAACTAAATATAAATCTTCTAAAAATATATTTATCGATGTAATCGAACTGAGTTGTTAAACGCTTGTTAGTTTTTTGTTCTAATTAATTTTATGTGTAAATTTGAGGTGATAGACAATAGTTATTTGTACATTTATACATGTAGATTAGAAAAGAAAATATATATTATTCTAATTTTAAATAACTTTTTTATTTACTATATTAGTTTTTTTAATATAATATATAAGTATCATATTGAACAGATAAAATAAGAAATATTTTAATTATATAATATTTAATATGTAAGAAATATAACTCAATTGGTAAATTAATAGGTAATCTTGGGATAAAATAATGAGTGATTTCTGAAAAAGAAATTATAGGAACTAAAAAGTTCACGTGTTTAATATATTTTTAATAGAAAAATTGTAAACACTATTATTCAATAAATACTACATAAAAAATATAAGAAATCTTATATCCTCCCTATATATAATAAAAAAACATAACGTTTTTCAATTCAACATAAGCAAATCAATGAAAATAATATATTTTTAAAAATTTTATAAAATAAAATGTAGACTCGACAATATTATTAGTAAATTTATGAATTGTAAATATTTAGTTAAATTATTAATTAAATTTTTTAATTAAATATAATATAATATAAGATATACAAATATTTGATATATAATGAGGCAGATGATCGAAAAAATTCTATTCTTTATATTATGTCTTTTTTGACAAATCTACAGTTAAGAACATGTGAAAGAACAAGATAAAGTTTTTAAAAAAAATTAAATACAAGAAATAATATGAATAATAACTAAAATTTTACATGTACTAATAAATATAAAACAAACTAATAAACAAAAATAATATAATTAATATAATTAAATATATATCTTCTAAAAATATACCTATCGATGTAATCGAACTGATTTGTTAAAACGCTTATTAGTTTTTGTTCTTATTCATTTTATGTGTAAATTTGAGGTGATAGACAAAAGTTATTTGTACATTTATACATGTAGATTAGAAAAAAAAAAAATCTTTATTATTCTAATTTTAAATAACTTTTTTATTTACTATAATAGTTTTTTAATATAATATATAAGTATGATATTGAACAGATAAAACAAGAAATATTTTAATTATATAATATTTAATATGTAAGAAATGTAACTCAATTGGTAAATTAATAGGTAATCTTGAGATAAAATAATGAGTGATTTCTGAAGAAAAAAAAATTATAGGAACAAAAAAGTTCACGTGTTTAATATATTTTTAATAGAAAAATTGTAAACACAATTACTCAATAAACACTACATTAAAAATAATGTTTGATTGGACTACACAAATTTTGCTATACTGCAATGAAAATTTAACGGTAAAGTATTATACTAAAAATTTTAACGAATATGTTGCTTTCATTGGCTATTCAAATATAGTTCAAATTAAATTACATGAACTTTAGTGGATGTAAAGATTTCAATTACCTGAATTTTTATTGGAATTTATTTATTGGACCATATTTCAATCGTCGAAAAAATTTTCATTGGTATTATGCAAAAATTCAATAGAAGTTCCATTGGAAAGATAATTGCAGTGATAGATCCAAAATAATTTCATATTGGGAGCATTATTTAGTTAATAGAAAAAATATACCATCAAAATAACATGTCATTGCAATTTATAAATTATACTTTACATAATCTATCACCTTTCTCATTTATAATATATTTTAATAAATCTATGCAATCACAATAAAGTAAAATATATTTAATAAACCAAAAGTCAAGATTTTTCTAAAATCAACATAAGAAAATCGTTATATTTGTTGGAATTTTTGTTGAAATTTTCTCATTTTCTTGTAGTAAAACTAAGACTCCAAATCTATAAAAAAATGCATTATATATAATATTGTGTGTAACTATTATTATGAAAATTTTTTATATGATAGAAAATATAACACATTAAATGTAATTGACGTTCAATTTATGATAAGAATTATTTTTTTCAAGGAAAACAAGATACTTTGAAAGGTCCTTAATTATTTTAAAGCAAACAAGATACTTTGAAAGATCCTTAATTATTTTATTAGTATTGTAATAACTAAATAAGGGGTAAGAAAGATGACAAAACTTATAACTCTCATTAAATCCAAAAGGAAAAATGCTAATATAATTACTTAATGTACAATATCAATTGGAGCTGGCTAATGATAAATATAAAACATACTTAAGATACACATATATTTTAACTAGAACTTTTAAGTACATAATATATATACATATATATATATATTCATATTTATATTTCTTTAAAAGTGGGTATGTTAATCTTAAAATTTTTTAGTTAAGATTTTTATTACTTTCTATCATTAATTTTTTTAATTTTAAATACTTCATATTTTTTATTTGTTACCTTTTTATATGTAATATATCACATCATTTATTTTCAATGATGTTTGAGTTGACCCATATATTGCAATAAAATAAAAATAATATAATTAAAGAATGAGTTTGAAAGAAAGAACAACAAACAATGACGGTTGCAAAGCTCGACTGAAAGGAAAGCAATATATATATATATATATATATATATCAATACTAATTTAAAATAATAAATTAGTCTTAAAGTATATAATATAATAAATTTTATATTCAAGTTAAATCAAGTTCATTAAGTATAAAATAACATAAGATAAACTTGTGGTATGTTTTCCATACATAAATTTGAAACAATTCATATTAAAAAAAAGTTTCTAACTGTTCCCACGTTTTGGCTAGAACGCCCAAATCCGATATATGTTTGACACGAGTTTGTCGTAATGCTGAAACTATGGCAAATGCACCTTATGGTACAAACGAAGCGAAGCAATGTGAAGTCATAGATAAAAGGAAAGGCTAAGCCAGAGAAAGGAAATGAAATAACATTAGCTATGTGAAGTCAATTACTGCTGCAAAATGAACCCTATAATGGTGGTACCATATATGTATTCAGTGATTATGAAAATGACTTAGTTAATTAATATTTTATCAAACATTGAAAAAAATTCTAAAACTTTTTTAATCTAATAATTCGTATAAAAAGTACAATTTTATCAAATATATTAAATTACATTTAATCTTATGTGATTATATTAATTGTAGCCTAATAAATAAGATAATTTGATACAATCATTATATAAAACACATACAAAAAAATATAATACGTATAAATGTGCTTTAGTTACTTAGCAAATAAAATATTATTTGTCTATAGAATAAAAAACAAATAATATAATAGTAATGCAATGAGAAAAAGAAAACATGTTAATTTTCTTAAAAAAGTATGAATACCAATATTTACAAACAAAAAGTCTTTTAAAATTACTATTTTTTTGTTGCTAGCGTTTATATATATGGACTCTGTAAGAAATTGGTTCTCATAAATAATGATCATATATTATTTATTTTCAATTTTAAATAATAAAAAAATCTAAAAATTTGTATACATGCTGTATATTTTAATCATGACTCCATAATAATAAACTTCACAAATGACTAAAACTATCGTCATATAATGGAATTCTAATTCTTCTGTTGTCAAATATTTTAACAAATCATATGCTTCTCAATATTTTCTCATTGTTTTGTTTTATCATTGCAAAAAATAGATTATATTGTTCGTAGATTCTAGATAAATAATACTGAAAATGAATTGTAAGAGTATCAAAACAGTTTTGAATGTTAGAATTAAGTTGTCACTTTTTATAGAAATATTTATAATCTCATTGGTGTATTGTGCTTGAACATATGTGCAATTACTTTAGTGGTACTTTCAGGTAATGCATGATGATTTCAAAAAATAATTTAGCACCTCGGGAGAAGTACATGTAACCAAGATTTTGGAAAGTCAGCTTTTATTTGGAGATAAAATTCATTCCCACCTCGTGGGGCGATGCATCAATGGGGTAGACACCAATTTATTAGAGATAGAGGAATGTAGTAGTTTATACAGTGATAAAAGTATCAGCAATTTTAGTGACACCGTTAGTTATTTTATAGAGATATTTATCCTTTGTTAGTAGAAGTACATGAACTAATAATAGAGTATAAACAAGATGTACCTTGTTATAAAGATCATACG